TTTGCTTCCAAGATGTAGCCTCTCTCTTCACCTCACAGATTGTTTCTTTTGCTGAGAAGAAACTTTTTAGATTGAGTCCATCCCATTTATTGATTCTTAATTTTAATTCTTGTGCCAAAGGAGTCTTATTAAGGAAGTTGGGGCCTAATCCCACATGATAGAGATTAGGGCCTACTTTTTCTTGTTGTATTAGCTGCAGGTCATACTATAGGGCTCAGCCACATCAATGTTTATAGCAGCACAATTCACAATAGCTAAACTGTAGAAACAACCTAGATGCCCTTCAATAGATGAATGGATTAAAAAAATGAGGCATACATACACAATGGGTTATTACTCAGCAATAAAAGAGAATATAATCATGGCATTTGCAGGTAAATGGATGGAGTTACACAAGATAATGGTAAGTGAAGTTATCCAATCCTAAATAATCAAATGCCAAAACTTTTTCTTTTTTATTAAAACGAGTCTGATTCATAGTGGGATAGGGACAGGGACCATGGGAGGAATAGATGAACTCTAGATAGGGCAGAGGAGTTGGAGGGGAAGGGAGGGGGCATGGGGTTATCATTATTATCCAAAGTACATGTATGAAGACATGAATTGGTATGAATATATTTTGTATATAACCAGAGATATGAAAAATTGTGCTCTATTTGTGTAATAAGAATTGTAATGCATTCCACTGTCATATATAAATAAAAATATAATGTATAAAAAGAATTGTAATGCATTCCACTGTCATCTATAAATAAAAAATGTAATAAAAATAAATACATAAATAGTGTATATTTATAAAATCAATAGCTTTTTGTTTCTTTCATTGTATTGGTATAAAAATCGGTGTTTTGCTATAATGAGATATCACTTCATATTCCTGAGACAGCCATGACCAAAAAGGCAATAACAAGTATAACAACTAAGAAGGATGTGAAGAAATTGGAAGCTTCACATATTACTGTTGGGGATATGGTGCATTCATTTTGGAAAATAATTTTGTCATTCTTCAAATGATTAAGCATGATTATCATATACATCAGTCAGCTCTTCAATGATGTAACTAAAATATCCAACAAGGACAGCTTAGAGGAGGAAAAGTTTATTTTGGGCTCACACTTTCAGAGGTTCAATCCATAATCTGTGGACTCCAGGCTTGGGGGCCTAAGAAAGGGCAGATCATCATGGTAAAAGGACAAGGCAGAGGACAGCTGCTCAGCTCATGGCATCTAGGAAGCAGAGAGTGAGGAGCTAGGGACAAAATACAATCCCTGATCCATATCAAATCAGAGACACGCCGTCTGATAGAAGAAAAAGTTGGCTACGATCTACATACTGTGGGGTCGGGCTCCAAATTCCTCAATAGGACACCCATAGCACAAAAGTTAATAACTAGAATCAACAAATGGGACTTACTCAAACTAAAAAGTTTTTTCTCAGCAAAAGAAACAATAAGAGAGGTAAATAGGGAGCCTACATCCTGGGAACAAACCTTTACTCCTCACACTTCAGATAGAGCCCTAATATCCAGAGTATACAAAGAACTCAAAAAATTAGACAATAAGAGAACAAACAACCCAATCAACAAATGGGCCAAGGACCTGAACAGACACTTCTCAGAGGAGGACATACAATCAATCAACAAGTACATGAAAAAATGCTCACCATCTCTAGCAGTCAGAGAAATGCAAATCAAAACCACCCTAAGATACCATCTCACTCCAGTTAGATTGGCAGCCATTATGAAGTCAAACAACAACAAGTGCTGGCGAGGATGTGGGGAAAAGGGTACACTTGTACATTGCTGGTGGGACTGCAAATTGGTGCAGCCAATTTGGAAAGCAGTATGGAGATTTCTTGGAAAGCTGGGAATGGAACCACCATTTGACCCAGCTATTCCCCTTCTCGGTCTATTCCCTAAAGACCTAAAAAGAGCATGCTACAGGGACACTGCTACATCGATGTTCATAGCAGCACAATTCACAATAGCAAGACTGTGGAACCAACCTAGATGCCCTTCAATAGATGAATGGATAAAAAAAATGTGGCATTTATACACAATGGAGTATTACTCTGCATTAAAAAATGACAAAATCATAGAATTTGCAGGGAAATGGATGGCATTAGAGCAGATTATGCTAAGTGAAGCTAGCCAATCCCTAAAAAACAAATGCCAAATGTCTTCTTTGATATAAGGAGAGTAACTAAGAACAGAGTAGGGTCGAAGAGCATGAGAAGAAGATTAACATTAAACAGGGATGAGAGGTGGGAGGGAAAGGGAGAGAGAAGGGAAATTGCATGGAAATGGAAGGAGACCCTCAGAGTTATACAAAAGTACATACAAGAGGAAGTGAGGGGAAAGGGAAAAATAATACAAGGGAGACAAATGAATGTCAGTAGAGGAGGCAGAGAAAGAAGAGGGGAGGGGAGGGGAGGGGGGATAGTAGAGGATAGGAAAGGCAGCAGAACACAACAGACACTAGTATGGCAATATGTAAATCAATGGATGTGTAACTGATATGATTCTGCAATCTGTATATGGGGTAAAAATGGGAGCTCATAACCCACTTGTCACATGCTCCAGACCTAATTCCTCCAGTCACACCCAACCTGCCTACAGTTACCACCCCATAATCCATTGAAATTATTAATCCAAGTGGATTAATCCACTGATTAGGTTACAGCTCTCAGAATGTAAGCATTTCGTTTCACCACTGAAATTCCTGAATTGCCTAACACCATGAGCTTTTCAGGGCATACCTCATATCATTATATATGTTGGTCATATGGTGTTATCAAGTCATAATGTCATGTCATCTACTAATTCTCCTATGCATATGCCCAAGAAAGATAAAAACATGCACATGAACACTTGCATGTAAATGTTCATAGCAGCATGATTCATAATAGCTAAAAAATGCAAACAACTCAAACATCCATTAAGTGATGAAGTAGATAAATAAAATGTGATAGATTATATAATGGGCTATTATTTGACAGTATAAATAATGAAGTACTAATGCATACTATGAAGTAGTATGCATACTACACCATAGATGACCCTTAACACATTATGATAAAGTGAAAGAATTCAGTCACAAAAAAACCAACATATTATGATTCCATTATAATGAAATGTAGGCAAATGCATAAAAAAGAGAAAGATTGGTGGGGATTCTAATTCACACTAAGTGGGGAGAAGAATAGAGGTATTTTGGACTAGACAGAGAGGAGGGAAAGTAGGGGAGGGGCCATGGGTGTAGGAATGATAGTAGAATGGATCAGACATTATTCCATATGTAAATATATAATTACATGACTTATGTAACTTTATATCATGTACAACCAGAGGAATGAGACGTTATACTCCATTTATATATGATGTGTCAAAATGCATTCTATTGACATGTATAACTAAGTAGAATAAATAAAGATATATTTTTAAAATAATTGAATTATATGTGTGTTCCTTGTGTAGCCATCGGGAATTTTGACCTTTTTATTTTTTTGTGGAAGGACACCAACCACCTTCCCAATTTCCATTCTGCCTTATTGCCTTGTGTTGTTATCATTGTCTGGCTCAGCATAAATACTGATTCACTTAATAGTAGAGAAATACACTACATTATCTCTTAGATATTTAGATCGATATATGGGTTTATTTCAGTGAACCACTGGATATGGGAAATGGAATCATTTCTATTAACTGATGGCAAGAAAAAAATTAAAGAAATTGAATTTAACAGTTTATTAGTAAAAAGAACAATTTGTGAATTGGGCATCCCTCAGAACCAGCAGGGGTTTAGGAGATCCTTTCCATAATGTGAGCAGGTGGCCTTTCTAGACAGAAAATGAAAGTGAGGTAGAGAAAAATGTGATTGGTCACTTCTTAGTGTTGTTCTTATTTGAACATGTTCTGATCAGGTGGTAGCCTATGATTGAAGCATGGCTACAATAATTGTCTGAGACTTGGCTATTTCTTACAAAAGTATACTCCTACGTTAGGTTCTCTATTAGTAAAATTAGTCAGCTTTTCATCACTGTGACCAAAATACCTGACAAGAACAACTTTGAGGAGGAAAAATTTATTTTGGCTCACAGTTTTAGAGATCTTCTCTCTATGTTCCTCTTACTCCAATGCAGAAGCATGGCATAAAGACATTGTGGAGGAAACCTGCTCAACTTATGCCAGTCAGGAGGCAGAGAGGGAGGGAGAGAGGGAGTGAGGGAGAGAGAGAGAGAGAGAGAGAGAGAGAGAGAGAGAGAGAGAGAGAGAGAGAGAGAGAGAGAGATCCACCAGGAGAAGAGAAGAGGGAGCCAGGGAGAAGAAAAACCTTTCAACTAGGTCCCACCTCCCAGTAGTACAATCAGCTATCAATGATGGATTAATCCACTGATGAGATCAGAGCCCTCAGGATCCAATCATTGCCTAAAAGCCTCACCTCCGAACCTTGTTGTATTGGGAACCAGGATTTCAGCACAGAAGTTGTTTGTTGTTTGTTGTTGTTGTTGTTGTTTGATTTTTTTTAAAGGGGGGCACATTCCAGATGTAAACCATTACACATACTAATTTAAGTTGCAGTTCTGAGAAGGGAGTCAGAATAAATTAAGTTTAATTTAATGCTGGGTAGCTGCCTTGAGAATGTGTTCCATCAAGGATGCTCACTTGGGTTCAATTCTCAAACACCACTAGCACTTGCTAGCTATGAAAGCTTGGACCAATGACTCTTTGGTCTTTGGTTCCTTCATGAAAAATGATAATAATAATACCCCCATCATAAGGTGTTCTGAGAATTTACTTATATGCAGAAAGCTTTTGGCACAACATCTAACTTGTAATAAGTATTGAATAAATAGTTATCACACAATTATTGTTTACATTTACTATTATCATTATTTACAACAGTTTCTAATCAAATGCTTTCTCTTAGAGTAGGCAAAAGATCTTTCATGGCTGTTGTGTTCTTCTCAAGCCCTGTTGATGTGTGCTGTTCTCTTCACAGGTGCAACATAAGAGGTATTATGCAATTCTTAAGCGTTTACGTTGTCAGGTGAACAAGCTTCAATCAAATAGAAGACAATGGCAATGGAACATTCAACAGCTGGAAAAAACTGCAGCTGAACTAAGAAAATGTGTTGGAATGAAAGAGTGACATTGCCATCGGGCAATGTGGAACACAGACCATGACAACAAAACTTTGGGGACAGAATTTTAAGTAAACCCTTTGGTTGCTTAACAACCAGCCTCCACTGGCAGAGGCCTGTCTAAATGACAGGTACGTTTTCTCTTTTTTGAATCAGTTATCTGTTGGTTAAAGTACCTCCCAACCTTACAATGGATGGCACTAGATAGACAAAAGCAATGCTTACAAGAAAACAGTGGAAGGACCTTTGTGAATATTTCAAATGTGAATACTATATTATGCTTACATCTTTTAAAATACATTTATTTTATGTATTTTTATGTAGTGCTGAGGATAGAACCCAGGGCCTCACATGTGCTAGGTGAGTGCTCTACCACTGAGCCACAGCCCCAACCCCCATTATGCTTACATTTTAACAATGTTGTATTCACTACCCTACAAAGTAAAAAATTAGAAAAGAAACAATCAAATTTTCAATAATTTAAATTGTTGAGATAATAAAAATGGTTGTTTTCAAACTTTTTATTACATCATGCTTTTTATAACTGCCTTCATAGTAGCCCACAAATATTAATATTCACAGTAATGTTGCTATATGTTTAATGTTCCAGATATTTCACACAGATTTCTCTTTTATCCAGAAGGTAACAATCATTTTTCTTTCTTATTAAATAACATATTTTAGAGTATTGCAATGCATATTATTTTTGTTCCTTTTTCTGTCTATATATTCTTTTTTTCTGCTGTGACTAAGTTAAAGTTACAACATCATATAAGGCCAACATACAAGCAAGTTCTTGAAAGAAGTTAACTAGTATAGAGAAACAGTTTTATTCTCCTAGGAAAGCAAATATTATATCCATGGCAATAGATCAAATGTTAACTTTTCCTTTTAAAATAGAGTGCTCCCTTTCATGGTTCCATTGAGTCAAATACTTAGAGGCAAAACCCAAATATTAGTTATTACAGAGACTAGTTTAAATCTTCACTTGTAGGATTAAATGATTTCAAAGCAACATCAACAAGTCATTTCAAATCCTTTTTCTCTTCACCTTTCTATGTGCCTGAGATTTTTAAAAGTGTAGTTGATATAAAACCTGATATAAATAATCTCATTATGTCTGACATTAATAGTCTTATCATGGCTTACTATGGTTAACATTTCAAATGGTTCATCCTGTTGTTTAGTCAGGATGATTAAATAATCATGACTCAGAAACACAGCTACAAATGAAAATAGTTAAACCTACAGATTGTAGAGAGTACCTACTAAGCTGAGCTGGAGATAAGGCTGAAACAGATGGTGATCATATAAATATATTTTAATATAACTTGTAGGTTAAGAGTGCTTATATTTAAACTTCATAATTTTAACTATAGCTTATAAAAGAAAAATTGTCTAAACTTTTCAAGTTTATCATGAGATTAAAAATATTTATACATGATAAATAACACCTTGAGTTACAGTTTCAGGAAAATCCAGTGTCTAAGAAGTGACTGCACTAGTTGAGAGTTGTCAAGAGACCACAAAAAGAGGCAAATTGATCCCAGATTGCACAGAGTACAAGTTACTGGGGACTTACTGACACAACCATGGCCAAGAGTGACAACAAGACTAGTGGATCCATATCAATGTGGGCTTAAAAAGAGTGGCTTTCACCCAAGTAGAAGTATACCTGGACTTATCACAAGGTAACATCAAAGATGTCAGGCATATTCCTGGAGCTGACAGTACTAGGGTCTGGTCGTAAAGCTCCACGTACCTCTCTAACGATTTTGTTAATCTGTCATAGTCTGGGTAACTATAAGGCAAACAGGCCAGAGGTTTCTCAGAGGCACCCATGGTGGCTATAATTCAAGATGGTTGCAGTCAGGTTCAAAAATATATATAAGTCTAATCTACTTCAGATAATGTAGTTTTTAAAAATATCATTAGTAATAAACACAATTATTTTCAATATTATGGCAGTTCAATTATTTGAGAGAAATCATTTTTCTTTTCTCTTTATACTCTTTAAAATAATTTCAGATAATGGAGAGCTTAATATTAATCAAGAACTAAAACACGAGGTGGCCTCAAACCTATTGAATTGGTAGATATGACATTTCAGCCCTATCATAAAGCCTAAGGTTGGAAAATTCAAATTATTTACTTTTATTTCAATATAACTGAATCTAGCTTAGAATATGAGACCTTTAGCCTAGTGTTCTGTTAGAGACTCTTTTCTGTTACTATAACAGCATAACTGAGACTGTTTATTTATCAAGAAAAGAATTTAGTTAGCCCATAGGTTTGGAGGCTGAAATTCCAAATAGGGTAGCACGAGCTCTGGCAAGGGCAAGGGCCCCTCTTGCTACTTTACCTCATGGCAGATGGCATCATGGTGGGAGCATGTGCAGGAATGACAGATCATATTGCAAGATGGGAATCCAAAGAGCCACTGGGGACTACTTGAGGTCCTAGGAGAACTATGCAATCCCTGAGGACCTAAGCACTTTCCACTAGCACCCACCTCTTAAAGTCCCACCAGCTAGACACTACTACTGGGGACCAAACCTCCAACTATAAACCTTTTGGGGACATAAATTATATAAAAACCATCTCATGGTCTTTCTCACATGTTTCTGGTTCCTTTCACCTCCTTGGTTGGATTAATTCCCGGGAATCTTTTTAAGATATTGTGATTGGGATGGTTTTCTTGATTTCATTCTCAGAAGAGTCACTGTGGAAATACAGAAAATCTATGGATTTATGAATGCTGCTCTTGTGTCATGCTACTTCGTTGAATTAATTTATCAGCTCTAGTCTTCTGGTGCAGTGTTTGGGGCCTTCTAAGTATAGACTCATGTCATCAGCAAACAGAAAGTTTGACTTCTTCATTTCCTATTTGTAAATCTTTAATTTCCTTCTCTTGCCTGATTGTTCTGGTTAGGATTTTAAGAACTATATTGAATACAAGTTGTGAGGGTGAACATCCTTGTCTTGTTCCTGCTTTTACAGAAAATGCTTTCAGTTTTTCTCCATTCAGTATGATACAGGCTTTGGGTTTGTCATCTACAGCCTTTATAATGTTGAGGTAAGTTCTTTTTTTCCCCTAGTTTCTCCATTCATGTTTTTAACATGAAGGTGTGTTGAAATTTATCAAAGGACTATTTTACATCTATTGGGATGATTATGTGATTTTTGTTCTTAATTTTGCTTGAGTGGCAAATTACATTTATTGATTTGCATATGCCAAATCAACCTTGCATGCCTGGGATAATACATTTGATCATGGTCTATTATCTTCTTGATGTTTTCTAATGTCTTGCTGATATCTAGGATTTTTGTGTCTGTGTTCATCAGTGATATTGGTCTGTTAGTTTTCTTTCCTTGATGTGTCTTTGTCTGGTTTTGGTATCAGGATTATACTGGCTTCACAGAATGTATTTGGGAATGTTCCCTCCCTTTTAATTTCATGAAATAATTTGAGAACGACCGGTATTAGCTCTTCTTTAAAGGTCTGGCTGAGAATACATCTGGTCCTGGGCTTTTCTTTGTTGGAAGGTTTTTGGTGTTACAATTTCACTACTTGATATTTGTCTGTTTAGGTTTTCTATGTATTCCTGGTTCAACTTGGGCAGGTCATATTTGTCCAGAAATTTGTTGGCATCATCTGGATTTTCCAGTTTATTGGAGTATAAAATTTCAAAATAGTTTCTAATGATTGTGTGTGTTTTAGAAGTGTCTGTGATGATATATCCCTTTTCATCTCTAATTTTGTTTATGTGGGTCTTTCTTTCTTTTGGTTAATTTTGCTAAGGATTTATCAATCTTATTGAGCTTTATTGCATTGATCTCTTTATTGCATTGATCCTGTATATATTTTTATTCTCTATTAATTAATTTGGACTCTGATATTAATTATTTCCTGTCTTCTAATCATTTGGAGTTAATTTGCTCTTCCTTTTCTAAAACCTTGAAGTGGAACATAAGTTTATTTAGGATCTATTTTTTAATATACATACTAATTTTTTTCTCTTAGAACTGCTTTCCTACTGTCCAAGAGATTTTGATGTCTTCTATCTCTTATTTGTTTCCTAAAAATTTATGGATTTCTTTTCTCATTTATTTATTCTATGATCATATTTTATTTAAAATAATGGTGTTAAATCTCCATGTGCTTATGTAGCTCTCTTTTCTTTTTATATTTATTTCTAGTTGTAAATTCAGTTTTTTTTCTGATGAAATACTCTGTAGAAGTCTATTAGGTACATTTGATTTATAGTATTAAAGTCAGAAAAATCCTTATTAATTTTATATTTGGATGACCTGTCTGCTGGTGATAGAGGTTGTTGTAAACCACATGGTTGGATCTTGTTTTTTGATCCAACCCATTAATCTGTGTCTTTTAACTGGGGAGTTGAGACCAGATACATTCGGGGTTATTATGGATATGTGTTTGTAGTTTTCTGATATTTTGGTTTGTTTACTACATTTAATTCTGTCTTAATTTTCATTTAGTTGGTTGCTCTTCTCATGGTCACCATCTATTTAGGAGCTTTGGTGGTTATTTTTGGGTACATCTTTGTGTAGTTTATCTTTGAGCATTCTTTGTAGTGCTTCTTTGGTGATCATAAATTCTTGAAGCTTATCCCTCTCATGTAAAGTTATACTTTCTGCATCAATTTTGAAAGAGCTTTGCTGGATTTAGAAATCTTGACTGACAAAATTTTTCTTTAAGAGCTTTCTTTGAATATCTCATTCTGGGCCTTGCTCTTCTTTAGGATCTGAGTTCAGGAGTCAAAAGTGATCCTTAGTGGCTTGCTCCTAAATGAGACCTGATGGTTTTCTCTTGCAGCTTTTAGTGCTCTTTCCTTCTTTTCTATGTTAAGTATTCTGATTATCATGTATCTTAGGTTCTATTTTGACCTTGTCTATTTGGTACCCTATATGCCCCCTCTATGTGGATGCTCCCTCATTTCTGATATAAGGACATTTTTCTTTTACTGTCTCATTGAAAATGTTCTTAATGCCGTCAGCCTGTATTTCCACATTCTTTTCTATCCCAATGACACTCAGGTATG